GTTTTTACTACTATGTATACTATAAAGCAGCGAATATTTATCATAAATATATTAAAAATTTTTAGCAACGGTAAAATGTGCTATTAGAAAAAAGACGGTTAAGATGTCAGGTAGCAATAGAGTTTCGTTGGAAGTAAATTGAATTCTACATCAAAAGTAACAAAAAAAAGTCTTGATAAGATGATTTTTTCTCTTCTCTTTAACTGTAGTTATTAAAAAGTAAATGATATTTGCTAGATTTTATTGGACATAACACTTTTTATTAGCAAAGATACGCTTTAAAGCATAAAAGAAACCGTTTCATAGCGTCTGTTAAAAAGCACTTTTTAAATTTTTTTATAATTTGTAACTACGATCTAATCCAGTATGTAGCGAAAATTTTTTTTTAAATATGGTAAAACATTTTTAGCAACAGTAATATTGTGCTACTATAAACAGAACAGAGTGGACGTTAGTTTTACTTCAATCGAGTTTCGTTGAAAAAGAATTAAACTCTTTACGTAATGTAACCAAAAAATGTTGAAATAAAATGATTTTTTCTCTTTATTGGGACTGCAATTTGTAAAATACAAATGTTTTTTGCTAGATTTTATTGGACATAAAACTTTTCATTTGTTAGTATACGCTTTAAAACTTGAGAGAAAACGTTTTATAGCTTTTGTTATATAGCATTTCTTTGAATATCTGAGAGTTTTTACTATCCAATAATCTAGAAAGCAGCAAAAATTCCTCTTAAATATATGAAAAATTTTTTAGCGATGGTAAAAATGTGCTATTAGAAAATAAACAAAATAGATGTTAGGTTGACTACAATCGAGTTTCGTCGGGAAAAAAATTAATTCTACATGTTAGGTAACAAAAAAATGTCTTAACAAAATGATTTTTTCTCTTTTTAAGACTGCAGTTGTTAAAATATAAATGACATTTGCTAGATTTTTTAAGAATTAACACTTTTTATTTGTTAGTTTACGCTTTAAGACTTGAAAGAAAATTTTTTATATAATTAGTTGTGTAGCACTTTTTTAAGATGTCTAATAGTTTTTAACAACTATTTATTCTAGAAAGCAGCGAAAATTGAATTTAAATATATTTAAAAATTTGTAGATACAATAAAAATGTGGTACTAGAAACAAAACAGAATGGATGTAATGTTGACTACAATCGAGTATCGTCGAAAGACGATTGAATTCTACACATAAAGTAACAAGAAAAAGTCGTAATAAAATGATTTTTTCTCTTATTTTGGAATGCAGTTGTTAAAATATAAATAATATTTTCTTGATTTTATTAGACGTAACACTTTTTGTTTGTTAGTATACGTTTGAAAATTTGAAACAAAACGTTTTATAGCTTTTGTAATTTAGAATTTGTTTTTGGTATTTTTAAGTTTTTAGCTACGAATAATCCAGAAAGTAGCGAAAATTTCTTATAAATATATTGACAACTTGTAAGCAACGGAAAACTGTGCTATTAGAAATTAAACATAATGGATGCTTGCTTTACTACAATCAAGCTTCGTCGAAAGAAAAATTGATATCTACACGTAAAGTAACAAAAAAAATTTGCAAACAAATGATTTTTCTATTTTCCTAAGCTGCAGTTTTTATAATGTAAATGATATATGCTGGATTTTATTGGACATAAAACTTATTATTTGTTTGTATACGCTTTAAAACTTGAAAGAAAACTTTTCATAGCTTTTGTTATATAGCATTTCTTTAGAAATCTGATAGTAATAAACTAATAATCAATCCAGAAAGCAGCGAAAATTTTTCTAAAATATATTGAAAAATTTTTTTGCAAAGGTAAAAATGTTCTATAAGAAACTAAACAGAATGGATGTCAGGTTTACTACAATCGAGTTTCGTCAAAAACGAATTGAATTCTACACATAAAGTAACCAAAAATTGTTGTTATATAATACTTTTTGTTCTTTTTTAAGACTGCAATTGTTAAAATATAAATTATATTTGCTTTTTTGTTTCGGACTAAACAATTTTTACTTGTAAGTATACGCTTAAAAACATTAAAGAAAGCTTTTGTTATATAGCACTTCTTTATATATCTGGTAGCATTAAACTAATAATCTATCCAGAAAGCAGCGATAATTTCTCTTAAATATATTGAAAAATTTTTAGCGACGGTAAAAATGTGCTATTAAAAATGAACAGAATAAAAGTCAGGTTTACATCAATCGAGTTTCGTCGAAAAAAAATTGATTTCTACAAGTAAAGTAACAAAAAAAAATCGTAATATAATAATTTTTTCACTTTTTTTTTTCTTGCAGTAGTCCAAATATAAATAATGTTTGCTAAATTTTTTTAGCTCAACACCATTTATTTGCATGTAAACGCTATAAACTTTGAAAGTAAACT